TTGAGAATGATGAGGGCCATAAATGTACAAATGTGCTTTATACAATTGATGTATGTATGGATGGTGATAAGAGTTGTATGCACCCCTAATAAAACGATTTAAAAAAATTTTTTTAAAGACTTGTAAGAATCCCCCAATAAAATGATTAATTAAGAAGAAAAAAAGCAAATGCCAGTGGATAAGTTAAGAAGGCTAAGATCAGGGGCAGAAACTCAAGCAGGGGAAGTCCACTGCAGCCCAAACCCCATCCTAGCCAGAGGAAATGGCCGGTGTTCCCGTTCCACTATGGGTTTCAGAAAGGCCGTGGACAAAAGGAAGTCTTCAGAGGTCAACTCCAAAGCTGAGAAGAAGGACGAGGTGGTCCTGGCTACCATCACAAAGCCAGTTGGTGGTGACAAGGCTGGTAGTATCTGAGTGGTTAAACTGTGCACAAAGCCTCAGTAGAACCCTGCAGGAGCTGTGGAGCCACAGCCAAAAGACCATCAGTTGACAGGGGAGGAGACTTCTGCCAGCATCACCCTGGGGCCATTCTGATCACCGAGACAAGAGAAGGGCTTTCCTGAAGCAGCGGGCAGCGACTTGCTGCCTCGGACTGAACCTCTGTCCATTGAGTTCCTCTGCATAGAACACACAGAAATTGATCATCGCCACCTCCACCAAAATTGGTATCAAAGGTGTGAAAATGCCCAAACATTTCACGGACGCCTACTTCAAGAAGCAGCTGCATAAGCCCAGATACCAATATCTTTGACACCGAGAAAGAGAAATACAAGATCGCAGATCAACACAAGGCTGACCAGAAAGTCGTGGACTTGCAAGAGTTTGGCAAAAATCAAGGCTGTTCCCAGCTCCAAGGCTTCTTGTTCGCTACCTCTGCACTCACAAATGGAATTTATCCTCAGACTGGTGTTCTAGATTTCCTGCAAAGAACCTAACTAACTGATGGCGGGGGTGGGGTGGGGAGGGTGGGGGGTGTGCAGTAAAAACTGTGCTTCCTTCCCCCCCACATCATGATCCCAATTCTACCTTACAAATCTAGCTAGACCAGATGATGTACACTGGTACAGATAAGAATTGGAAATACAGGGAATCTAGGAGATGATCCCTTCAGGATCAGTGGTGGTGAGAGTGATGATACTGGGAGCGTGGGTAGAGAGGGGGAACCAATTATAAGGATCTACATATAACCTCCTCCCTGGGGGATGGACAACAGAAAAGTGGGTGAAGGGAGATGTCGGACAGTGTAAGACATGACAAAATAATAATAATTTACAAATTATCAAGGGTTCATGAGGGTGGGGAGAAAATGAGGAGCTGATGTCAAGGGCTAAAGTAGAGAGCAAATGTCTTGAGAATGATGAGGGCAGTGAATGTACACATGTGCTTGACACAATGGATATATGTATGGATTGTGATAAGAGTTGTATGGGGCCCCAAGAAAATGATTTTTTTACTGTATTTCCATGAAGAATACTGTTTTGGGCCCCATACCTCACTTCACGTATAAAAATGAATGCAAGATGGATTAAAGATCTAAATGTAAACCCTAGAAATATACAGATCACCCATGAGAAAATAGGAACCAACTTAGGGGCCCTAATACATGGCATAAGCACACTATTCAGCATAATGAACCATTTGTACACAGAAGACAGGATGGATGACTGGAGCCTCCTAAAAATAAGATATCTGTGTGTATCAAAAGACGTCACCAACTCAAGTAGAAAGCAAATGTTTTGAGAATGAGGGCAATAAATTACAAATGTGCAATGGATGGAGTATGGATTGTGATAAGAGTTGTATGAGCCCCCAATAAAATTTTTTTTAAAAAAGACTTCACCAAATGAGTATAAAGAAAACCCACACACTGGTACCCATTGGAGAATATTTTTTAGAGTGAATTTTTCTTTGTGTGTGAAAATCTTTTAAACTTTCACCTGGGTGTTCAGGATATTAATCTCGGAGGCCATCATATCTAATTGGCACAACATGTTCTCCATCCTACTTTGGTACTTAGCAAGTGGGGTCTTAAAAGTTGGTGAGTGGCCATCTAAGACACCAAGAATGGGTCTCTCCCTCTCCAGAGCAAAACTAACCAAATAAGCAACTGTTAAAATGACCAGAACTAGATGGTGCCTGACGCCCAGTATCAACTGCTCAGAAAGAGATCACATGAGGAAGTTCTCAATAAGAGTGGGAGAAAAATGTGGAACAAAATCTTAAGAGAGACCAGACTTACTGTTCAGATAAGAGACTGGTGGAACCCCAGGTCTACAGACCTTAGTCACCTGTCAGGTCGGGGAATGAACTCACCCCAAGGCTCAATTTTCCTTCAAACACCACAACAGGCCTACAAGAGGAGCAGTAACACTAAGGAGGTATGCACACGGTAGAATAATCAACCATTTGAGATCAAAAGAGCAGCATTTCCCCAAGGACAAAGCTCAGAAACCAGGAAGAGTTAGGAGAGGAGGAGGAATGGAAATGAAACAGGGTAGTAGTGAGGAATGCAATTAATGACATTAAATATGTTTACTACATTGTTGAACATAAATGGAATAATCTGCTGTTTAACCCCATTCCCAATAAAGTGCTTGTTTAGAATGTTTCCTTAGCTTCATCTAAAAGAATCTCAGGCACAAAAAAATCCTGTCAACATGAATGAGGGGGAGTGCTGGGTGATGAACCAAGGCCCATCTGTAGGCAACTGGAGATCCCTTTGCAGAGGGGTTGGGGGGAGATGAGTCACTCAAGGTGCAGTGTAGCATTCATGAAACACACAACTTTCATCTAGTTCCTAAAGGCTTCCTCCCTCCCCACCCCACTATCATGATCCCAATTCTACCTTACAAACCTGGCTAGACCAGAGGATGTACACTGGTACAGATAGGAACTGCAAACACAGGGAATCCAGGGTGGTAGATCCCTTCAGGACCAGTGGTGAGAGTGGCGATACGGGGAGGGTGGAGGGAGGGTGGGGTGGAAAGGGGGAACGGAATACAAGGATCTACATATAACCTACTCCCTGGGGGATAGACAACAGAAAAGTGAGTGAAGGGAGACATCAGGCAGTGTAAGATATGATAAAATAATAATTTATAAATTATCAAGGGTTCATGAAGGAGGGGGAAGCGGGGAGGGAGGGGAAAAATGAGGAGCTGCTACCAAGGGCTCAATTGGAGAGCAAATGTTTTGAGAATGATGATGGCAACAAATATAGAAATGTGCTTGACACAATGGGTGTATTTATGGATTGTGATAAGTTGTATGAGCCCCTAATAAAATTATTTAAATTTAAAAAAATATGTCTCAAGCATGCCCCCAGAGTCCAGGAAGATTAGAGTTGATGTCAAAATAGAGCTGACCCCTCATAACTCTGTAGCCAATAAACCAAGTCTCAGTAATGACTCCCAAATTAGACTTCACTGAAATCTCTTTGAAAATCCTGAAAACATAAACTATGACCTAAGATATGCTGAGGTTAAAAAAAGGAAAAATCACCTACACAAAAAGGCAAGAAAGCCAGACATAAAGCACCCAAGATTCATGGTTTGTTGCTTTCTCCACGTATCCTGCAACATGTGGCTCGAAAGAAACAGAACACTAAAAATGAGGAGGCTGCGGGATATGCCCAGCTTTGGGCTTAATTTATAAAAGAGGCAAAGAAAAATGCCAGGAACAGATTGCCATGAGCTGAGACTGTCCTCTCTGAAAGTTATCTCTACAATCTAAAAACCTCTAACATTGACAAATAGGCTCATACATTCACATATATATAGCCCTTGACATACACATTTAGATATACATAGCAGACGTAAAATCCAACCCCCTGAGCACAATTTGGCTAACCAGTAGATGTTTTCACTTCCGGTTTGTTCTCACTTTTTTTTTTTTTTGCACCATGTTTGTTCTCACTTTTAAAGCACGCTAGGTTCTACTCACCGAGTTGCTCGGACGCTTGCCCACAGGCTCTAAGCTTGCACTCTTTGGGGTAGTATTTCTGAATGCGCTCCCACAGGTCCTGATTGACAAGGGAGTTTCTTCGGGTGTGGTAGCGGGTCCATGAAGAGACCCGGCGGCGACAGAAGGGGCAGCATAAACTCGCCTTTTCGACGGTCGACTGAAAGCACGGGTTGCAGAGCGTGTGGTTACAAGGGAGGGTGACGGGTTCGATTAGGATTTCCGTGCAGATCAGGCACTGGCACTCCGACAAAGAAGGGATGGCGTCTTTCCGTGCTGCCATTTTCATATGCTAAGCAGGCTATTCATTCAACCACGCCTCAAAGAAAAGCCGACTGCAAAAAAATCCCCACTGCGGCGCTTGAGTATTATCTCCAGCAGTGCATGAGAATCCAGAGATTTAGCCGCTAGGAAAATGAGATGCCACACGCTGGACAGTCCACTTTCAAAACAAACGTCAGGCAAGACAATAAAAGAACGTTTTCACCGTTGCAGCAGGGCTCACCGTGGCTGCTGGTTCCGAGGCGGCCGGAGGTGCGCGCCAAATCCCGTTTCCTCCGACCAGGTGAGGTGCTCCCGCAGCGCGGCAGATGCCAGCCCGTCGCCACCGGGGCGCCGAGGTACGAATCGCCGCTCCAGGAAGAACACGGTTTCCGGCCGGACCCAGGGCTGCTCCTGGAATTAGCTTCCGTTTTGCCGTTGCTACGGTGGCAACGCGCGAGCTCCCGAGTCCAAGCTTTCGAGAGCTCCGCGCCGTCGCTGGGTGCCCTGCCCTCGACCCCGGCAGTCGCTCCCGCCAGCCGACGAGCCTGTTTGTTGCGGTGTCACAGGGCAACACTGCAAGGGCCAGTGACGTCACAACCACCCGCCAAAAGAGCATCCGGCATCCGGAGTGCAGAAAATCCAGGCTTCTAAGATTCGGTGGGGCGGGACTTCCGGGCCTGCGCGCGCCGCGCCGCGCCCGCCCCGCCCCGCCCCCTAGCCCTGACGGGACCGACTCCCGAGCTCCCGCCCAGACGCACGCTCAGTGGGGCGAGCCAGCGGCTGCAGGCTCTTCCCGCGTTGGCTAGAGTCGGCTCCCGCGGCGATTTAGGCTGCAGAAATCCGGAAGTATCGCGAGATTGGCCTTTGGGCCGTGACTAAGCACATGGAAAGGAAAGCACTTGATGCTTTAGAAAAATGAGCAAAAAAGGTACTTGGGAGTTGAAGTCTCCACAAGGATGTGGACCATTTTCAGTGGAAGTAAGATTATTTTGCATTGCAAAGAATCTTGCACGAAGAAAAGATCATCCAGGTGGTAATATTATTTTTTTGCGGGGGGGAGGGCTAATAATATTTTTATAGTATTGAACTTTTTAAAAAACTTAGCCCAGTTAAACTGAAACTACATTTTCTTTAGTAGCCTTCCCCTTTGACCTCAAAATGAGCAGTTCTGAGATGCAAACTCTATTATAATGCCAAGAATTATTATTTTTTTAATTTGACAGCGAGATCTTTTAAAGATTGCATGCTGTGTCATTAAATGGAGAAAAAAATGTATGGACAACTAAAATTTGGAAACTGCCAAAATTACTCACTGATTTGCCATCTGTATTACAAATGTGTTAAGTTTATTTAACCTGAGGTTATTTTCTAACATTATTTAGTTGAGATAATGTGTTTTAAGTTGTAAAAAATAAAATAAAGCACTTAAGTTATTGAATATAAAATGGACGATCTATCTGTGAACCTTCACCTAATTCACAATGAACAAGTACAATAATATAAAGGACTTAGCATAAATAAAGTGGCTAATTTAAAATTTGAAACTAGATTCTCTCTCTGTTTTGCAAACTCAGGAAATCTTTTCTCTGTAGTCATGCAGTTATAGCATGTTGGCAGCTGGTCCCAAAGGGTCTACCATGATCATGCAGACATAGAGTATCATTTTGTTCCCAGATGCAAATGATTATACGAAACCTGTACGCAGTATGTTCTCCAAAAAATATATAGTTGAAACCAAGTTATTTTAAACTTCTCTTACCATGTTAAAATAATACAGCTTGCTTTGTATGGGATATTCTTAAGAAATACCTGCTCTATAACCTTCTCAAGAAACCTATCTTTAGAGAGATTAATCAATACCTAGCAGCCTGTTTGCTGTCGGATTTTGGAACAAGCCTTTTCTTGACGTTATGTTGTCACAGGTGTAGGGGATGAACAAGGCCCCAGGATCAAAACGTAAGACATGAATTGTCTTAAACAGCACAAAGACAATCCCATCTGGATGAAGAAGACCATTGACACAAGTCATAATGTGGCCAACGACATGGGAGTATAAGGGGGAAGTCACAAAAGCATAATTGGCAGCAGATAATGCATCACAGTTGCCAGTGCTATAGAAACAGGAATGGGACCATGACAAGGACTGCCAATCATGTCTACCTTAATATACCTTACACAAGACAAGAAAGTTAACAAAAGAGTGAAGAAAAGATTCCTTCAGGACCCTCCCACAAAGGCAGTCAGGATATGACTCAGGACAATAGACAGTGCTACCCGAGTATAGCAGTTTTCATCAAGGGCACATCAAGGCAAGTCCCTAAAAGGCTAGGCCACCCCTCCCTGGACTGGCAAGGGAGTGGTAGTAATCCACTCTAGTGCACTCTGAGAGCAAAGTCATTCACATTGCCTGGTAAATGGTCAGAGCTCAGATTTCAGTAAAGGCACAATTCTTGTGGAGTCTTATAAATGAGTGTAGGAATTCCACTGTAAACTGTAACCTGCAAACTAGCTGTCAGCAAATAAATCCTTTTGTCCCATCGCTGACAATCCCACTGTAAGAAAGCTGGCCTCTAACTTCCAAATGTCCTAAGCCGAACTCTGTATAGAGGAATCCTGGTGGTGCTGTGAGGTAAGTGCCGGATTGCTAACCTCAGTGGTTCAAATCCACCAGCTGCTTCTTGGGAGAAAGATGAGACATTTGGCTCCAGTAATGATTTGCACTATTTCTTAGTCTCAGAAATCCTATATAGGATCACTATGAGTTGCAATCAACTTGATGGATATGGGTTTTGGAGGGTTTTTTTTTTCATAAACCAGAGGGAGGATTCAAATACTTTAACAACTGGTTTGCTGCCCTAATGACTGTTTTAAGAATAAGAAGAGATATAACAAAAGGTCATACAATTTCAAATTTATGAGAGTTGGAAGTCCATCATACCAAGTAAAAAAGCACTTGTTCTCATGTTGCTTTGGTCCAAGAGAGTAGAGCCAATTCAATGAGAGTCAACTAAGTAATCTTCGGTCAACATTAATTTAGATGGTTATTGGAAGGAGAAATATCTGTGACAAGTAATTCTACTATAACAAAGCATAATAAGCTCAGTATTTTTCATGACCATATTACAGTATCAAATAAATGTTCCAGAAGAGAGAAAGATGAAGGAACAACAACAACAAAGATAAAACAGCTATCACCAAAAAAAGGAAAAAAAATCACAAAACTACCTGTTTCAAAAATATCTCCCTTAGCACTGTATTAGAAGGGGTAGGAGG